CAATTAAAATTACAGCAAATACAAATAGTTTAAGAACTAGCTTGCAAGGCGGCCCCATTGAGCTCCATAGGGTTTCCTTCTGGATCCCATGTTTCGGATGGTCCCCAGGAACAAATCTCAAATGCAGGACTGAGTGCTCTAGGACTGGGAGAAGTTACTTTTTGGGGACGACAACAACAACTCCCGAAATCCTTCCCTAGCCATGCTGGCTGGAGGGCTGAGGCAGGGACCTGGGACCGGTTTGTAAGGAAAAATTTCAACGTCGGCAGGTAAGTTATTCTTGTTGTCTTTTAGCAGAGGGAGGGCCAATCCCTTTTCCCTTATCTCCGAAGCATCCTTAAATATTAGGACGACCCTTAGTGTGTGTCCTTAGAAGCATCTTCCGTGGGACCAGTGCTTCTTATTCCAAGGAGATCCATCAGATTCCCAAGGAGATCCATCAGATTCCCAAGGAGATCCATCGGATAGATGGCAGGCAGCCTCTCTTACTCAGGAGGAAGGCTCTCCCCGACGATCGCTTTCTCAATGCAGTATTTCTTGGGGCTTGATCGTTTAGTGGTACACTTCCAATTGGACAGTTCCCAGGGAGGATCCACTATATTTGACCAGATCCTTTTTGGGGAAACCCATCCATCCCCATGAGGCTAGGGACTGAGTCCCCTCTCCCCTCCTTTCGGACTCCAGGATACTGGGTGCTGGAGTCCAAACGAAACCCTTTGCTCAGCCGGATCGTGTCCACTCCCTCCGAGAGGGCCTGGAGAAGTCCTCCAAGGGAAGGAGGACGGGGATCTGCTGGATTTCTGCGAAGTCTTTGCAGGGGGAGGCAGGAAAGTCCACCCAAGTTCCCTTCCTTCTTGCGGGGATGGGATGGATGAACTCGGGAGGCCCCCTTTCTCTTCCAGGTTTTCACCCCATTGGTCTGTGAAGCCATTCGCGTCCAGACGTCCTAGCTTCAACCAGTCCATCCACACTGCAGAAAGAATCCGGGTTGACACCGCTTTAACTGCTATGGCTCAATATTAGGGAATTCTGGGAATTGCAGCTTTGGTCTGGTGCCACAACAAACTGCGGTTCCCATAATTCCATAACATTGAGCCATGGCAGTTAAAGCGGTGTCAATCTGGATTATTTCTGCAGTGTGGATGCAGCCTTCTCCCAGGGATGGCTGGAGGCTGGCCGATCTCCCAAAGAACTGACCAAAGGAGGAAGGATTCCCAGTAGAGACCTGGATTCGAGTCCCAGCTGGTGGGCAATTCAAGGGCCTTTACAGACTGCCAGAAATAATGCAGTCTGGGCAATTCAAGTGCATAAGGCTTCAGCCTTTGTTTAGGAAACAAAAATATTTAAATATCCAAAATATCAAAGCCTAGCCCAAGGGTAGGCAACCTTTCCCCTTTAAGGGCCGAGGGACTTCAGCTCCCAGAATCCCAGGAGCTATTGGCCAACATGGGACTATTGGCCAACATGGCTGAGGCTTCTGGGAGCTGAAGTCCCTCGGCCCTTAAAGGGGAAAGGTTGCCTACCCCTGGTAGGGTCTAGCTTTAAATTAAAGAAGTAAGACTAAAAACCAAACAAAACCAAACACATGGAGCTTGCAGTTAAACAAAAGTTTAGTACAGTTGACCCTCCACATCCACGGATTCTCTTTATCCATAGATTCAAGCGTCCATGGCTTGCAAATATTCATATATATATATATATATATATATATATATATATATATATATATATATATATATATATATATATATATATAAATTCCAAAAAGCAATCCTTGATTTGGCCGTTTTCTATAAGGGGCACCATGTTACTATGCCATTGTATACAATGGGACTTGATTTGGGTATCCACTGGGGGTCCTGGACCCAAAGCCCAGGGGATACCAAGGGCCCACTGTAATGGTTGGAATCTACACATGCTCAGAGGCTACATCCTAACCTAGCTAATGAATAGTTTAGGTAAAGGAAGAAATCTTTATCTCACCATCTTTCCAAAGAAAGCTGAGAGAGGAGGAAGAGGGGGAGCAGACAGGACAGGAGAGTCTCAATGTGTGAAGGAAACTTCCTACAAGAAGTGACCAGAATCCACATGGTTTCTTTACCAAATTACAAAGGTATTTCTTCCTCTATGAGTCAGTATGGGATGTTTGAAATGAGGGGAGTCAGCAGGGTTTGCAGGAGAGAGAATGCTGAAACCTTCCAACAACACTCTCTCAGCCTCAGAGGATGGCCATGGCAAACCCTTTCTGAAGAAACCAGCTAGAGTCCTAAGATCTTCAGGAGAAGGCTTTCTCTAGG